CCAATTTAACCCATAAATGTGCCGCTATCTCAAAAACGATGTCGGTGACCTATCTTTTTTATTTCATATATCAATAAGGAATGATGCTCTGCGACTGTAGTGAAAGTTTAAAAAAATTCTGTAGTGTGTGATTTTTTTAAAAGCGAGAAATTTATTGCGAAATTTCCACACTACAGATTTTTTTAAAATTTGAAATTTATAAAATTTACCGCGAAATAAATTCGTGTTCAAAATTTGAAGATAGGTCACCGATGAAACTAATGAGTAAAATGCAAATAAAGTTTGAAAATAGCTTCATGTAACTCGAAAAATTCGCCTATTGAAAAGCGTCGCTGACTAGTAAAAGATTGTACGCGGGCGCAGAGCGAGTTTTCATTCAGCAAAATCGAGACGCAATGTTGTTTTTAACGTTTTGTTTTTGTCAACTTTTCGATTTATTTGAGTGCTATGGACAGCCAAGGAATATTGTGAAAGATTAAATCGATGAAAACAAGGTTGAAGCTAATTGAATCCTGCCGTTTACTCAATCTATGAGCTGTAACAGCCTATTAACAGGTGGACGTGTGTTTTTGTTTCATGTTTGGTTTTGTACTTTTTGCTAAAAATGAACAATTAGGCTATGAAACTGAAATATTTTTCTGTTTACATATAGTCACTTTAATCTTGTAGAAACACGACTAAAAACGTGAACGTTTTCTTGAGAAGTAAAAAACTTTTTAAACGTTTGTATGCAATTTTGCAAATGATTTACAGTTGAGTCAGTTGACAGTGTATAAAAAAATTAAAAAATATTGTTTCGTAGCTATTTTTTGGTCTATTGATATTCGTATCATATATAGAATTACTGTATAGACTCGCAAGTGATTTGGCACTCAAAACGAAGTATTATTCAACGCTTTTTTTCATTAGAAACCTTTCAGAAATAGCTTTATTTTTAAAAAAAGCATGGTCAATTTTTGTTTTGTTTTGATCATGCAGTTGCGTGGGATAGTTCACGTACTTGTCCCGCGAACATCCCGCACGGAACTGTAGGGAGCCTCCTTAACTACACGACTTAAGGAGGCTGCCTACAGTTTCCAATATATATCAGTGTTTTAAACTAAATGCTAAATGAATCTCAAAAACTATTTTCTTGCACAACCCATTGTTTCCTCTTATATAAAAAAGTAATTTGAACACACAATCACTACTCTTCATGTTACCATGACAACATGACGTCATCATCTATATGGCCTATATCAAAATAAAAAGGCGTCTTAACGGACAAATAACCACGGCCACCTACCTTTTTTATTGCAGAAAATACATTGTTATGAAGTTTTGAATCTTTTTTGAAAGTTATTTGAAAATCGCCAGTGTAGTTTTTGAGATACTGAATTTCAGCCTTTTCAAAGGCTAAAATGCAATCTTAAAGGCTGAAATTCAGTACCTCGAAAACTACACTGGCGATTTTCAAGTAACTTTCAAAAAAGATCCAAAACTTCATAACAATGTATTTTCTGGAATAAATTTTTGGTTGATATAGGCCATATAGATGGCGACGTCATGTTGTCATGGTAACGTGAAGAGTAGCGATTGTGGGTTAAATTCACTCTTTTATATAAGAGGAAACAATGGGTTGTGCAAAAAATTAGTTTTTTAGATTCAAATAGCCTTTAGTTTAAAACACCGACATATATTGGAAACTTTAGGAGCCTCCTTAAAGTCTTAATTGCGTTGCACAAAACGTAGTTTGTCGGATGATTAACTATAAATCAGGTAGTGAACTTGCCTGGGGCTTGGGTGGGGTGGTTAAACAGTAAAATTACACGAAGTAAAGACTGATTAACGACCGCTTAGAAGCATTTTTAACATGATTGTGGAGTCGCATTTTGCAAATAGGCGGGAATTTTATTCAAAATAGTGAAAAATAAAAAAAGAAAACAAGGAAAACTCAACGAAGACATCCGTTTTTACTTGAGATGTCCAGGCTAAACCAAAGTGTAACTGTTTGGCAATTGTATGTTGCATCTTTCTTCGTGCAATGGGTCCCACTGTACGTCGCCTTCGAAAAATCTTCCCGTGCAAAAATATATTTTGTTTTCGCCAAAAAATCAAAGCGATACAGCGTTTGAAGAGTTTATATTGTCAGGGAACATTCACAGAGAAGATAGCGATTGAAAACCCCAGGTAAGCATTGCTGTTCATTATTGTTTTACTGAAAAATGTAGTTCCCTCCTATACAATCGCCATTTTTAACTACGGCTTGAGAAGTTAATGATAACCCTAAAGCATCGTTAACTTTAACTACGTTTTAACTACAGACTACAGTTATTAACGGTAACTGCTTTTTTATACAACCTATAGTTACATACGTGATTAAGAGCTTTATACAACCTCCCTTACAAAGGCATAGTTTCAATTAGATATGGGAATGAAATCTGATCTTAGAGATTGTAATTTAGTCGATCATACATACGACCCATAAGTGTATGGTATTGGGGATGAATCAATCAATTAATCGTTGTATTAATTCTACTTAAAAAATCGCGCAATTTGTTCCACCTGATTGCCTTTCTCATGATATTAATCTAAATATATTATTATTAATGTTGAGTTGGAGAAAGTGTGACAGATTGAAATTTGTTATATGAAATTCAAATCCGAGTGAAAGGTTTCCAAAGTATATCTTAATGAGTATAAAAGCCCAGAAATTGTCACAAATATTAAGTATAGAGACCTTTAGCTTGACGTTTATACGGCAAACGTCAAACCGCTAACAAAGTTTTTGATTTTACAACTCTATTTTACCGAACAGCTTTTACACCAGTTTTGAAATATATTAAACAATTATTAAACTTGTGGTATTTAACAATGATTCAAGAGAACAAATTAATTCTGGTCATGTAGGCTATTCACCAATGCAGTATATTAAGATTTAGTGTTTGAAGTATACGTCTGGCGCATAAATTTCATGCTTTAACGACTACAAACCCTCCTAGTTCAAGCATAAAATTTATACGCCAAACGTCAACTTCAAACGCCTGATCTTAATTTACTGCTTTGGTGAATACTTGACTAGTGGCTAATTTGCTTTCTTAATTAAATCATTGCTAAAGAGTACAAGTTTAATAATTGTTTAATATATTTCAAAACTGGTGTAAAAGTTGTTATAATAGAGTTGTAAAATTAGAAACTTCGTTAGCGGTTTGCCGTTTGCCGTAAACGTCAAGCTATAAAGGTCTCTTATATATTATCTATCTAAGTATCGTTTTTATATCCGCGCATTTCTATAGCGGAGATGATTTTTAAAATTTACTTTCTATTACTGTCAATAAACACATGATAGCAACCGGGCAATTTCCATCATTGGGGCATTTTTTTGCTGTTTCCCGTGCGCCCCTTCCAAGATATTTTGGCGAAAGGGTTCAAACAGTTGAAACTCTTTCTAATGGTCCGTGCAACATATTTATAATTTAGCTGATAATATATAATATATTAAAAGAAATTTGGCGTTCGAATCTCGATATACAGCATATAATAATATTTCTGGTAATTCAACCAATACAAGCCATACCTAATTTTTGTGTGCAGTGATAACCAATTTGTGCAGTGATAAAACGTAAAATGTGCAGTGATAAAACGTAAAATGTGCAGTGATAAAACGTAAAATGTGCAATGTAAATTTGCTGTAATAAGTTATTAATTAACAAGAAAATGAGGCATTGAGCAGAAAAACTGATCTAAAATTTAGTCTTGACACTTTATAATCATAACATTTGAATGAGAATAATTTGAATGAAATATTGGAATGATAGCCTAACTGCCAAATTATCGAACGTCCGTTGGAAAATGGAATGAATGATAACTTGACATTTTGTAATTAGTGTATGATCTTCAGAGTCTTATAGAATGTCCCCGCACATTGCAAGAAATGCCCTCTCAGAGAACCTAGATTACAAAATTTTCTGTGGGAGCACTCCTAGAGAGGAACTTTGTCACGCTTAAGCCTCCTTCCATTTGCCAATACAAAAATATATCTTTCCTGCAGGAATGTATAGTCCCCGAGCCGGCAGCGCGAAGCGCCGTGCGAGGGTACTAATTCCCCCCCGGCTATTTACACCCGGGGAAACGAAAGCATTAGCCAAGTCTAAAGTTCATCAAATATCGCGGGCGTGACCAACGAACCTTGAGTGGGTGGTTATCCTCACTGATCTCAAAAATATGGCGGACTGTCATGGATAGCGAACACTGATTGGTCAAATTTAAAATTTGTTGTTGTATGACAAATGACGACTTCAACTGACAGATACTTCATGAAAATAATTTGCTTTTAATACACTACAGTATTTTGTACGTTTGTCGTTTGCAAAAAACTTTGACAGCTTTCAAAGCAATTTGTTCTATAAAAAGTTTAATAAAACAATTACGGTATCAAATACCAGTTGAAAAGATATGCATGGAGCCAAATGAAGAGCGGCAAGGAAACGACAAGAAAGCCGAACGTCTAGCGAAAAGGAAGGAGCGAAGACGACAACGTTTGCTCGAGGAGACTGCTGAGGAAAGAGAAGCTCGCCTGGGAAAGCGTAGAGAAGCATGGAAAAAAAAGACTGCCGAAGCGAAAGGTAAGCAAAGGCTTGTCTTCACAACGCTATGTACCAATGATACTGAAGCTATACAAGTTGAACTTTGATATTCGACCCTCAATATTCGACTATTTCTTCACAATTTTCCAATAAAGAGTTTGTCATGACATGCTCAAGTCAGTATAACCAGACTGTATTTTATTTATATCAGTTATCACAGCCACAGGCAATTTTACGCTGTCAAATACCGTCGGTTGCAACTAAGGGTGAACAGTTGCAGATAAAAATTCTCTATTCTCATTAAAAAGCCTGTAAAAGTTTCCACTAGGTCTCTAGCCCAACACGTTCAGACCACACAAAGTTTTGTTACTTATTATTGCACACATGGGAAACAACAATTATAATTAAGTGTTGTTGTTCTTGACAAACATTGAAGATTCTAATCACGCGAATGTTTTTATGAGCGACTGTTCATCGTTAGTTGCAAACGACGGTACAACATACTATGAAGTTCAACATTTTTCCGACTGTGACCGAATGTGCAACGATATATTTTTCAAAGTTGTTATCAATTCCTAAAATTTGTTTATAGTAAAACGGTCTGCTCATCACTCACTACTCACGATGGTTTCATTTAGAAATGCAGTTATCAGGAAAGGAACTGATTCTAAAATATGTAAATTTAAAAGCATTGGCTAACAGAATAAAGCGATGTGAAGACAAGGTACAAACTTTTATAGTTGCTATTTGTTATAAAATCCTATAAATAAACCGATTGAACAATAATTTTGGCTCGAATTTGCATATTCTATGCTGCATGTTTATATTTTATTTTTATAGTATAAAAATAAAATTGTAATACTATGAAATAAAATACATTTCTGTTTATTGACCAGTACTTATTTAATGTCTTCTTCATCCAGTGGTCAGAGTAAATTTCTACTTCTAGCAAGTAATTATTTGACAAGCAGTCTGGAATAAGCACAGGACTTTTAATGCATCAGCCAAATCCAAGTGTGCCCATCCCCCTTGCCCAGCCATTTTCCTGTAAAGCACATCCCGGGGGTTGGGCATTTCCACTCGAACCTTAGCCCTGGCGGGGCATTTGAAATTAATAATTTGGATTCTTGCACTTCACTTGTGGAATTGATATTAGAATGTTAGGGTTTGTAATCCAAGTGATAATATTTTGTAATCCAAGTGAGAATATACAAATGTATAGTACATGTATATATTTTGTGTACATATATTTTGTAATCCAAATGAGAATAGTTTGTAATCCAAGTGAGAATATACAAATGTATATTCTCACTTGGATTACAAACCCTAACATTCTAATGTTAATTCCACAAGTGAAGTCCAAGAATCCAAATTATTGAAGTCCACCTTATCACAACCCGCACACCAGATTACCTAAATATACATGAACTTACGGTTAAAGCTCAAAAGCTGGCCTCTGTAGCTCAGTTGGTTAGAGCGCTGCACCGGAATCGCAGGGCCGTAGGTTCAATTCCTACCAGAGGACCTTGTGCTGCATTTTTCGCAGTCGTTCCTGGTTAGGTCTTAAAATGTATATATTCTCACTTGGATTACAAACCCTAACATTCTAATATTAAGGTCACCAAGTGAAGTGCAAGAATCCAAATGATTGAAGTCCACCTTATCATAACCCGCACACCCGATTACCTAAATATACATGAACTTACGGTTAAAGCTCAACAGCTGGCCTCTGTAGCTCAGTTGGTTAGAGCGCTGCACCGGAATCGCAGGGCCGTAGGTTCAATTCCTACCAGAGGACCTTGTGCTGCATTTTTCGCAGTCGTTCCTGGTTAGGTCTTAAAATGTATATATTCTCACTTGGATTACAAACCCTACCATTCTAATATTAATTCCAACAAGTGAAGTGCAAGAATCCAAATTATTGAAGTCCACCTTATCACAACCCGCACACCCGATTACCTAAATATACATGAACTTACGGTTAAAGCTCAACAGCTGGCCTCTGTAGCTCAGTTGGTTAGAGCGCTGCACCGGAATCGCAGGGCTGTAGGTTCAATTCCTACCAGAGGACCTTCCCGTACGAAAAGTTACAGCCTGACTGAGCGAGATTCTGGCCAGTATCTGGCAATAAACCAATTAAAGCAGCGGTAATTGAGCAAGACACAACCAGACATTGGTTTTGTCTCGCTGCCTGTTACGAACGAGACATTTGTATCGCTTGTTTATGGCCGAGAATTTGGCCTGAATGAGCGTGACATCGCAAGACAAATTGTCTCGCTCAAACGAGACAATTGTCACGCTGCTTTTACAGCGAAACATGGACGATAATATAGCGAGGCAGAGCGAGACAAGCAACAGAAATTCCTTTGCGTGCCATGAAAATTTGAGATTATTATCATATCCGGCGAAAATTGAAAGAAACTGAGCACGACAAGAGCGTTACGTTAAAAATTTAATTTGTTTTGTCTCGGATGACAAGGCGCGCAATTTGAGTTGGTTTTATTTTGCTGTACACACGCATCGCTTTCAAGCAGCGAACCATACACGGTCGGTCGAACAAGGGAAAAGTTGCGGATTTTCAACAATGATCATCGTTATATATTGCACTGTATTCTCGGTAATTCTTCAGCCAGGCGACGTTGAAGTCAAAGATAGTGTCCCTCGCATAGTTTCTGTGCGACTTTGAGATTCAAGGCGTTGGCAATATATGCATTGGATCGAGACAGTCTTCAAGTTTCTTCTAAATGTAAGTAATTAATCTCAACGTTTACCTGTTCTGTACAGTTTTGCGCGTGATACCGCAATACATAATTTACTTTAAATGTAATTATTAAGGTTAAGGCCCACACAGACCGAACGCGATTCGACAACGCGACGCGAATTTTCAGATTTTAAAAACAAATAAAACCGTCAACGGATAAAAATTTTACAAGATATGCAGACCAAATAGCTAAAATTGCTTAAGTGGTTAAGAATATTTGAAAAGCATAGAAAAATAGTAAAGGTTTAATAAATGTCATTGAAAATTCGCGTCGCGCTGCCGAATCGCGTCCGGTCTGTTTGGGCCTTTACGCTTTTAAAACCATGCATTGCGAACAATCTTTTTATAGGTATAAAAACTTTAGATGTTTATACGTTTTAACAGAAATTTGCTGGAATAGAAAGGCCTACAAAATATTCGAGGCCGAAATTAAAATCCTATTTTCATATTTGTCATATATAGTGCAATGGCGAAATTAAGTCTGAAACCGCGGCCCGAATAGTGACTTAGGCCTAGCTTTCAACCCTGTTGTCTTTAATATTTTAGCTGCCGCTTGCGGACAAATTGACCGTTTACATGAGTCGCTCGCGACGTCCATCTCAAAGCCGCAGCTTATTTTCGCCCATGATATAAATGCCCCTAGTGTCAATGTAGATTAGTTAAAACAAGTCGATAAGGCTTTAGTAGGCTATAAGCAAAAGCTCGTTGCAATAGCGTGATGTTCTTTCAATCAAGTGGTTTTATCTTGAAAGTTGAAATATAAAAGTAATTTAATCGCTGTTGACGGAAAAGCAAAATATGCATAAAAATACTTGAACAAAAGCTAACTTTACAAATGCATTTTATCCAAAAGTTTGAAGTGTGAACTATGGTCAATGATTTTTAATTTACTAAATTTTTAAAAACTTGCTTTATATTTTTGACCTGATTTAATAGCATTGCCTGCTATCTTGGTATGTGTGTATTGATATGTGTTATTTTACTTGTCTGCGTAAATGCGATTGCGTTTCTTAATTTCCGGCCTAAATGTGGAGCCATAATACAGCCAAAATCAGGCCAGACAAAATTATGGCCTGAAAAATGTATGGCCCAGTACCGGTGAAATTTGGTTGAAAATGTCACGTTTGAG